TTGAAGAGAGCGCGTTTGAATGTATCCCCAAATCTCTCCGCTTGGTCATTCGATGGTGGGTGGAATGGTGGAGACCGCACGTGTTTGACAGCGCAGCATTTGCAGAACTCCGTGAATGTGGCCGAAGTAAACTGTGCTCCATTGTCCGTCACCAATGTTTCAGGGCAGCCGAACCTGCTGAAGATTTCTCGCAACCTAGAGACGGTTGCGCTGGTTTTCGTGCTTTTCATGAGGAACACTTCGGGCCACTTGCTATAGGCGTCGACCACTATGAGAAAGTTCTGGCCATTGATTGGGCCTGCAAAGTCGACATGAACACGGCTCCAAGGTTTAGTTGGTTTAGGCCATAAGTGGAGTTCAGTCTTCGGCGGTGCCCTTGAGGTGGTAGCGCAGTTGCCACAACTTCTAACTAGCTGCTCCAGGTGTCTGTCCATAAACGGCCAATACACATAACTTCTGGCAAGCGCTTTCATTCGGTTGAGCCCTGGATGTCCTGCATGGAACTGTCGCAGCACTCTTTCTTGCAACGCCTGCGGGATGACTACTCTGTCTGAGAACATGATGCAATCGTCCACAATGGAAAGCGAATGTCTTCGCTGATAGAACTGCTGCATTTCGGCAGATGAACACGAACGTGGCCAGCTGGTTCTGTGGAAGTGTGTCACCTTCTTCAGGATTGGGTCTCGAAGCGTTTCGGCCCGCACAGCATCGGCCGTAACTGGCATACCATGTAGTGCCTCGTTCACCAGGAATTTGACATCAGTTTCGATCTCAACTGAGGCAATGATGGTGTCCTCGTGTTCTTGCTGTTGGGAATCAGTGAGGAGTGACAACGCATCTGCTTGGCCCGGCGAATTCGTTGACTGATAATGGATTTCAAAATCATAGCCCAGCAAGTTGAGTGTCCATCGTTGAAGTCGATTGGCTGTATAGGCAGGAATTCCCTTCTTCGAGCCAAAGATGTCCAGCAGCGGCTTGTGATCCGTCAAGAGTTTGAAGCGGCGACCATACAGCATCTTGTGAAATTTCTTCACGGCAAACATTATGGCCAATGCCTCCTTCTCGATCTGACTGTAATTTCTTTCAACTTTCGTTTGCGTCCTGGCGGCATGTGCGATCGCCTTCTGAGATCCATCTGGGAACGTATGGGAAACTACTGCACCGGTCCCTAGACTCGATGCGTCTGTGGCAAGGACAATTTCCCGGGAAGGATCAAAATGAGTTAGGAGTAAGTCTGAAGCCAACGCATTATGGCATTCTGGCGTCCAATTCCAGGTTTGACCCTTGCTCAGCAACTTATTCAACGGGTCACGCAGGCGATGTTGTTCGTGCAGAAGAGCGCTGTAATGACTGATTAGGCCACAGAATGAACGCAGCGACTGCAAATCCACAGGTGGGTGCATCTTTTGAATAGCTCGGATATTTTCTGGATCCGGGCGACGACCGTCTTTTGAGAAAATGAAATCGAGAAACTTCTTGGTTGGTGTAAGAAAGGTACACTTGTCTTCGCGGATACGGAAACCATATGACTGGATACGTACATGCACTTCAGCGAGCCGCTGAAATAGTTCTGCTGTCCAACCCATTAAAATGATATCATCCAGGTACGCCGCGGCTCCAAAAACTCCCGCGAGCATGGTGTCCATCAATTGCTGGAAGATGGGTGGTGCTGTTTTCACGCCAAAGGGGAGGCGGTTGTACTGATACAAAGCACGATGAGTGTTGATGGTCAGCAATTCTCTTGAGCTTTTATCAACCTCAATCTGGAGGTAGGCATCGGACAAGTCGAGCTTGGCGAAACACTTCCCACCATTCAGCTTGGCAAAGATATCTTCTGGTATCGGAAGGGGGTATTTATGGTCGTCCAATGCGGCATTCAGGCCAGTCGAAAAATCGGCGCAGACTCGCACTTTACCGTTCGGCTTTCTCACAGCATCAATCGGCGCAGCCCATGAAGAGTAGTTCACTGGTGTGATGACACCGGCTCGTTCCAGTCGGTCGAGCTCCTGCTCAACTGCTGTCATGGCTGCATACGGTTCCGGTCTTTTTGTTCTAAAGACTGACTTGGTTCCTTCACGAAGGCACAACTTTGCTTTGAACATAGTGCAGTGGCCGAGACCATCTTCAAACAAGGCGACAAACTGCTGCTTTAGCTTTCTGATCATGTCTTCTATCGACAAGGATGAATGTACTGGGTCGGTTTGTACTCTATTGCAAATCTGACTCATTGGAACATCAAACAGTTGTAATTTTTCCATCCAGTCAAGTCCAAGGAGGTTAAGTTTGGTCGCTCAGACAAGTAGCAGGTTCCGGCCTTTTCCACTCCGTTGAATGCAATTTTGCAATTTATTTCTCCGACCAATTTCAATACTCCACCGGATGCATTGTGAGCGACTTTGTTGGAATCAATCATCTTCGGCTTCTTTATGTGCTTCCAAGTGTTCTTGGAAATGATCGTTATATCTGATGCCGTATCGAACTGCAACTGGGTTGGGATTCCGTTGATAAGCACAGTGATAAATCGGCGGCGTGTTTTAGAGTCGCTGTGAAACGTAGCAATCACCGATAGTGATTCTGCGTCAGGTTTTCTGAATTTCTTCCTTCGGTAGGACTGCTTCACATTTCTTGGCCGGGACTGATGACAAAAGTCTTCCTTGTGGCCGCGTTTATGGCACTTATCACAAATATGACGCTTGAATGGACAGTATCGTGCGAAATGCCATTCACCACATGACCAACAAAATGTAGGCGGCTTGTTCGGCTTTCTGTTGAGCTACTTATTCGAGCCAGCCTTTCTTGCTTTTTGCACAGCATGAACAGTATCGGCAATGGTGGGGCGACTCTGCTCAATCATAGCCGTATCGTGTTTCAAGGTAATTAACCGTTTGCATTCGCCTACAAGAGACTTCAATGTCAAATCTGGGTCTTGATCCAAATTAGCAAGGAGCCGAGTGCGGATTTCCGCTTCGCGTGGAGACTGTAAAGCACTGACAAATATGAGACACTTGTCATCCGTCAAACAGCGTAACTTGAAACGTTCACATTCACGGTTAACCATGTCTGCTAGTGCCCCATACTCGTCTGTATCACGCTTAACAATTTTTAGACATTGTCAGCGAATGCTAAACTAAGATGTCGACTTACCAAAAGTTTCTTTGAGAGTTGCCATTGCTTCGTTGAAAGTGATGTCCTTCGGCTCTTTGGGCAATATGTGGTCAAGAAATCTTGTATGTTCATTAGTACCGAGCTTGCGGAGCAAAAGACGCACTTTCCATGAATCATCTTGACGGCTGAAATCCGTCTGGAACATATCCTCCCAACGTTTGAACCACGCCTCGAAAGTGGATTCGGAATCAGCATCATAATGAAATTCAGTGATTGAATTCGTAAGAAGATCAAGTGAAACAGCCTGCGTGTCCCGTATAGCTGCTCCGTTTGATTGTACGTTTAAGTACTGCGTTAAACTTTCGATCAGTTTCATTTGTGCTTCCATCTGGGATTGTTGCTGAAGAAGCAGCTTTTGAAAATGTTCGGTAGAAAAATTTGTAACATTTCTGTGCTTGTCCGTCGCCATTGTTAGATCTTCACTTTTTTCGCTATTCCGGATTAACCACCCAAAAATTTCTCCGCAAAAATTCTAGCCCAGCCGAAGAAAAATCAAAATTCCAATAGTCTTGACCACGAAAAACGTGTTAACAAAAACCTCTGCCAATGTAGCCAGATAATGCCGTCGAAAACTGCCCTCTCAACTCTGAGGCAAAAGTACAATTAGCTGGGGGTTTTAAAACGCATTCATCCGCTCGGTTGGTTGCCTGATCGACCGCACGGGGTAGGCGATTCCCTTCAGCCCAACTTTCGTTCACCATTATATACTTTCCTTTTTTCTTTTATGTTTTTATCTAATTCCCGGATATCCAAAATGTTTGTACGGACGACTGTCTTTATCTTAAGCATTCATCCATTGTAAAAAGGAGCGAGTCCGCTTTATCCATATTTATGAAACCTGATTTTACCGTGTGAAAATGATGGTCAATCAAATATGATAAACTTCGTTTCTGCAATGCATATGAGGACAAGCCACGCACACTTGTTCAATTTTTAATGATTTTATTACGACCCTGTCAGGCACGAAGTTTCTACTTCTGCAGTTTCTCAAGACTACATGCTCAAACATTTTGTATTTTGATCATCGCCTTGCAGCGTAGACCCTCTACACTTCCATGACTTTTCTAAATTCCTTCTTATGGAAATCATTTTCCTTCATATATCTCAAGATGGGCCTTGACGCTACGAGATTGCATCCAGCGTGTGCGAACGCCCTGAAATTCTACTGTCCTTGATTGACCAATCCCAAATCCACCAGTAGCATCCCTTTCTGTGTGCTCATCTGTTACACACTCGGCTTCTTTGGATATGGTTGTTCAACAAACAGTATGCATTTTTGCGAGTGTTTACCATCATTAGATGCATTTTAATAGTATCCATCTTGAGATATCTGTGAAGGAACTTGATTTCCATAAAGGGGAAGTCGAAACCGCTATGGATGCTACTGGCTGAGGTAAGATAAAGTTAACTTTGACATCGAACGTAGACCGCATCTAGCCATGCATCAAATTGACAATCGTTGCATTGAAAATAACCTATCCTTTGATACAAGTTCTGTATGTGTTTAATTCAAAATAAGATGACGAATGTCTCACAATCAGTGATGTGTAGCTCTATTCTTAGCGTTCGTGTCCCTAAGTTTAACAGACCCCTGGCATTTAGGATTGTTTTCTACTCTGTTGTAACGGTCTGGTACTCAACTTCGAACCATGACGCAGTTGTGCGAATGCAATCAACCCTGGAGCGACAAATTTAACTCGCTACTTATTGCGCTAATGGTCTGCAGCACACGAAATGACTTCGGATTGATATACCTCATCGTTTTTTTAATCGACGAAATGACACGAATGACGTACGCATTTGTGCGGTACTTATTTGCGATTCATTCTTTTCAGAGGAACGAAGGACGGAAAGTGCTTGACCTTGGGATCATACCTGCACCCCTCTTGGAGACCCCCAATTTGAATTTGTTTCACTCCACGACAGTTTCCAAAATTTTGTTAACTTTATATTTTGTAAGTAATTTTGTTTTTTGTTCGTTATTAAACCACTTCAAGATGTTAATGCTGCACTATTGTTCGAGAATCTGTTTCCCATTGCCGTCGTATGAGTTTATTTGTAAAGGCCCGCTATTTTAAACTGCCGCAATCCCGAGTGTGTGTAAAATGCACCAATATCCACTAAGTACCCCACTACATATTGCGTCTGTTTTTACTTATAATTCCCATGGTCCGGTTGAGCACAGCTTACTTTATTCGCCAGATCGACACCGCAGTCATAAGCACCTCCTCGACCATGCAAAAAGCGGTGCCCATAACGGTTATGTTCCTGATGTTGCATGGACTGTATATTTGTAGGAGTCATACTTATGTAAACATAATTCTGGCACAACTCAAGGTAGTGCAATATAAGGGAAAAATGCAACTTGCAGTCCCGACATTTGGAATGTCCGGAATATGTGTTTTCTACGTGTTCAGTATGGCTGTGTGACGAGAGGGTTTAATTGAATTGCTTGGCAACCTGGACTGGAACAACACCTCAACATCCCAGTTGCGGTTTACAGAAGAACCTTATCTCATTTGAGAAATAATTTCAAGCGCTCCATGGAGACCAGTGTTTATTGCTTGCAGCTTTGCACCAAATTGAGGAGCTGCATTGTAGCAGAGTTTAGTAAAAGCTGCAACTGACCCGCTCTGAGCAACAAGCATGTAAACGCCCGGCAGTTCGGTGTCCTGCGAATTGTTCAAAGGTAAAAATGTCGCTACAATTATAATCTTACTCGTATGCACTAGGTTCATGTCGCAACTACGTTTTCTTTTAGACATATAGGTATATGAGGTTCTTCGGTTCCAACGAAGCACTAGATGTTGACGGTCGTTCTCATCGACTTCGGAGATCCTAACTGGGATTCGGACATATAGGTTGTCTAAAAGCGTACCAGTTGCTTCGCCTTATCTCTTTTGGCTACTGTTACGTGCTAATCATGAGGGTGTGTTCTTTAATTTACCTGGCGGCATTCACCATATCCTGGTTTCAAGTGTCAGTCTAGATTGCTGCGTTGTGGAGGATATGTTTTATATCTGATCAATGCGTATCATATTGAAGGCATTGTCGATGCCGGAGAGTGTGCAGAGGAAGCTGAGGTTTCTACTGTTGCACTCATATACGACGAGAGAGGAGCTCCTCACGAATCTGCAACAAAAACCAGCAGCTCCTTGCAAGAATAAGTTTCAATATGTCCGATATGTTGTGGCAGTAAGCGAAGGAGCATTCGAAGTCTTGAACCTTCTCGTAACACATTATCTGGCTGCGTAGTAACCGCGGGAGCAGAACGAAAGAATGCACCGTGACATTCTTCACAATATCATGTTGGATGACTCCATTGAACTAGTCGGTCACGATATACACCATCAATAGAGACGATAATGAAAACTTTTCACTGCGTCGCTTTGCAAAATGTCTTGCGGCACTGTCCGCAACCGCATACATTAGCTGTTCGTCGATAAACGAGTGGAAAGCTTATACAGGTATTGTCTTGTTTCTACTGTCCACAGAATACATCACATGATTCCAAGACTTCTTCAAAGCCAATAATTTGCGTGGAATTCGCATGCTTCACAATGGTTAGAACTTTCTGGCTATACATGAGCTGAAGTGTTCACTACTGAGTGTCCAGGGGTAAATACCGCCATCTGATTAAAGTGCTAAATCTTGAGTAGCTCCGCCTCCCTTGAAACCTTAGCCATCCAGCGTTTCACTGCAGTCGTCTTTGGGTTCTGCAAACGCTGTGCTTTCACTAATGTTCGCATATTTCCGCATCACTATCAATCAGGCTACCATATTGATACGAATGGACACGATAGTGTGTCCCTTGTTTCTATCAAAGATAAGACTCACAGGCAGGTTGAGTTCCCTTCTCGGACTACTCCAACTCCTCTGTCGCTGAAAAATATACTCCGGTGACAGCACTACTTCTGGGGCGGCTGCATATGCAATTTATTACAAAAATACATTGAAATTGCAGTGAACTACTAAATAATATTATGGGAAAAACTAGCAGGGCTGATGAAATCAGAGAAATCAGTGATTGCTGCGGACGAACGGCACGTAGTGCACAAGTCAACTATCATGGATACGTTGTGGATGATGGCGCGCAGCGGAACGGAGTGTCAAATGAGCACCATGAACGAAGTGAGCGAGCACGCCCGGCTGTTCTGCGTTAGAGCAATAATGACATCTAGTTGTGCGTTTTTCTGCGCCGCGTTGTGTTCTCATCTAGACGGTCTCAAACTGCAACCATTGACAACATATTGCGACGCTCATTCAAATCTAGTAACGGGTGTTTTCATTTTTGCAAGACAGCTTCAGCAACGGGGCGATAAAAGCTGAAGATGACCTACCAGCAAGTCCCACTGAAATGTTGGACGCATTCCGTCCGCAACACGTTTGCTGCTTCTTTAGCCCTACTTGTTGCTACATAAGCCGTTTGGAGTAGAGGACATCCTTGCCTCACATTTCATAGATCATTGACGTGCTTGAGCAGCAATCTGTGGTTAGCACCGAAGGTTTCTACGATGTTCCGCTGATATGCTGCTTTGTCTTTTCTGAGCAGTTGAGTGCAGTGTTTACGTTGAGTTACATATTTGTCCCAGTTTTCTGTCGTTGGAAGCAATCTTTGCGCTCACCATGCTATGGTACGTACTGAGATGCATTTTCAAATTCTGCTCCTAACGAACGAGACTGACTTGGGCCCATTTCGAGCTTTTGTTTATGAAACATCTGCAATTAGTCGATTGGATTTTTTTGACGAATTCGAGGCTGATTATACTAACTCCGTCTGTTCAAGCGAGTTTTATCTGCCTTCCTTCATCAGCTGGGATTAAACTAAATGGTTGATTCATGGCAAGGTCTGCCTGGAATTTGAACCATTAGGTTTAAATAAGGCTAGTATTTTAAATGACTTGTTACAAACGTTGTATGGAAGTGTGCTGATTCTCCTACATTGCTATTTGCAAGCTCAAACGCTAGATCCATCAACAACTGGTAAACGTTAGATCACCGCGCTTCTAAACTGATCTCATTATGAAGGCTTGATGCGATGTCCAGACGCCATAGTATGACCATTGGAGACGTCTTGTTTTGCTTAGTTTAGCTGCAATCGCTGCCACAACATACTCACTAACTCAGTCCAGGAGAAGTATACGATTTTGTGAGTCAACTAGTGACACCAAATCTTGCTGTGGGATCAATGGTAGAAAATCGACTGAACACCCTCACATCCCACAGCTGTCACCAAACCCAAATTGGCTGCACACTGGCACCGGTTGAACTGCAGCCAGTTAACGAAATTTGGAAATTCCTCGCGTATTGCCTACTCCGTACATCCATCAAATATTCCCACAACAATTAGCCTATCCACCTCCGCCATTCCCTCCCACGGAAATCCCTCGAAGTCCTTTTTAGAACACCATATACCCCAACAATGCCACTCACCACTGGGATTTCCTCCAATTGGTCCCATGAATTAACAGATGATCTCTGTACTCTAACATCTGGTGTTAATACAACCTCGAGAGCTCCAGACCACGAATGCCTCATTGAGGCACACCACCAATAACATTGCTAGCAAACAGTCCCTCTTGACCCTTACCGCATCACTTGTTTCCGTATAATTTCTAGAATCCGCTGTTATAAACATCTGTTTCTTTCTTCCTCAATTGCACTTTCTTACAAATTTCTTCTATCTTGAAACTCCCCATCGTATTTTCATCAAAGAAACATGGTGCAACTCAGATACAAATGACTCTCAGCTTCAACTCATTGGCTACCACGTTTCGAAAGATCGTCTGAGCAAACTAGGAGTAGGATGCGCTATCAACATCGAATGATATCACGCTGATGTCTGTTCATCTTCTGGATCTCAATGACCTAGAAGATTCCGTGTGGCTAGCAACTATGGATTTCCTAGCGCTACCAATCACCATGTTGAACAACTAGTTGATACCATCGACGCTGCCTCTAATATTCTACAAATATAAGTTTGTATGTGGTGATTTCAACTTACCGCATATTGCCTAGACGACACCCACACTTAAAGTGTCGGTAAGCCTCATGGGAATAATCCATGGCATTCAGATCAGTGGTTGGACTCAGTCACTTAATCAACCTACAAGAAGAGCCAACACATTAGATCTGATACTCACCAAAAGCATTCCATCGGTGCTCGTCATTATTGATAGCCCGTTACTTGACTGCGATCACATTACTGTGCTATGCAGCATACCTGTAAAAGTAACCAACAAACTACGAGTGACGGACAAGTCTATTCGTTGCATCCATCTCATTGACTAGATCATATTTGTCAATCTCAATATCCTTAGCTTGGATAAATTTTTCTTAACGCAGGATTCAATTTTGGCCACTAACGAATTTGTTAACAATCTTACCACCTGTACCGACCAAGTAGCACCCACACTGTGGAACAACCTCCATAACAATAGTAGTCAACCCAAACCATGCTTCAAAATTATTACTAAGTAGAAGAAATTCAGGTCCCAATTTCGCAAAAATAATGACTTTTCAGTTACTGCAAATTCAAGAGACTAAACTGAAACTAAAATATCAAACACTGCAAGCAGGAATCGCCGAAGAATACAAAGCGCTTAAAAGTCCGCAAAAGTTATAAATCTTCGTGAAAGTTCTAAACAATAGGGATGCAAAGCAGTACCATCAAATCCAGTCTGACGTCAGCAAATGACTGAACAACCGATGACGTTAGTCAAATGTGGGAAGCATTGAACTCTTATTATTATGCGGTCTCATTCAACACAGATATCAGTATGTTCCATCCTCTTGTAAAACGGAAGACACATGCATCACTCTCACACATTCCAACGAGCCCGAGTGATGTTCAAAGGGGTATACTCTGCATAAAACCGTCATTTCATCTAGGACTCCATGGTATTCCTCCAAGTGTCACCAAGTATGGAGACAAAAACATTCGTTTACTGATGTTAAAAGTCTTCATATTATCCTTAAACAGTAGATATTTCCCTCCAAAGTTTGAGTACTCGGTAAGGGCACCAAAACACAAAGGTGGATTCCGAGCTGCAATGACAAATTATCGCCCTATCAACAATCCTGCGTCAGCCACAAAAGTCATGGAGCGAATTGTCAAGTATGGTGTTGTCCAATTCT